CGCCCGCCCGCCCCGTCCCGCCCCTCACATGGCCGCGATCTTGATGAACTTCTTGAGCAGCTGGGCGCGCTTGCCCGGGGCCTCGCACAGCAGCACCTCAGTGGCCACCCAGTGGGTGACCTCGCTGCAGCGCTGCAGCAGCAGCTCCAAGTTGGCTGTCTCGCGCCGGCCGCGCTCCCCGTGGAACACGTAGTCCACGAACTCCAGCTGCGCCGGGTGCCGACGCGGGGGAGGGACGGGGCGCAGCAGAAAGGACCAAGGTTAGTGCGGTGCCACCATCTTTGTGTTATTATTTGTCTCCTACATCATCCGGGCTGGCCTCGAACTTGCCATGACCCTCCTGCCTCAGCCTCCCAAGTGCTGGGATCACAGGTGTGCGCCACCACGCTAGGCAATAGTGAGTATTTTTTTCTTTTTTTTGAGAAAAGGTCTCACTATGTCGCCCAGGCTGGCCTCAAACTCACAGTGATCCTCCTGCCTCAGCCTCCTGAGTGGTGGGATTACAGACGCACCCCACCACACCGGGCTAATAGTGACCATTTGAAAAACACTAACCCTGAGTGAGGTTCTGTGTAAGCAGCATGGGGCCCTGAACCACCCTGCCGGAGCCCCCTCTGGACCTCTTTGCATGTGGGGACGAAGGCCAGGATGCAGGCCTCCGGGACCAGCTCCCTACCAAGCTGCCTCAGTCACCTCGTGCACACAGCGGAACAGCTCCCAGTGGAAGGCGGTCAGGTGGTTGGCAACATCCTCAGGCTCCACACGGTGGATCTCCGTGTCTCCCGGAGACACCTGGATCTCCTCAGGGAGGGGCACCTGGGGGCGGCAAGGCAGGGTGAAGGGCTGCTTGTGGTCCCCTCGGCCCTGCTCCCAGCCAAGACCTTGTGAAAGAGCTTTTGTTTTGAGACAGTCTCACTCTGCAGCCTAGGCTGGCTTCGAATCAGAAATCCTCCTGCCTCAGCCTCACGAGTGCTAGGATTACAGGTGTGCCCACCATGCCCAGAAGGGAAGGTGTTCTTACCAGGGCCTCATAGCTGTCCCGGGTACAGGCAAACAGGTGGCTGTTGATGCCCAGCGTGGTGAAGACGCAGTCCTCGTTGGGCTGCAACAGGACCTTCTCTGCAGGAGAACGGGATTCAGGCTGGCCCTGGCCCTCTGTACCCGCACACTCAGGCTGTTAGCTCCATCCCCATGCAGAAGCTCCTAACCCCACACTGGCATTCTAGACTAATGAGACTCATTATTTACCTTTGTTTGTTTGGTTTTGTTTTTTGAGACAAGGTCTCGCTATATATCCAGGCTGGCTTTGAGCTCACTGTGTAGGCCAGGCTGGCCTCACATTCAGAGATCCTCCTGCCTCAGCCTCCTGAGTGCTGGGATTACAGGTGTACATCACCACACAAAATTTAGAAGCCAGTCTTGGGCCGGGGATTTAGCTCAGTAGTTCTGCCACCTGCCTCTCAAGTGCAAGGACCCGAGTTCAATCCCCAGTACCAAAAAAAAGAAAGAAAAAAGAAGCCAGTTTCTATCTCTGCCCAGGGGGCCCTGGCCCCGGTGCCCTCACCTCCTGAGGAGGCCACAGCTACCAGGATGAGGGCCTCCTCTCGGCCCGCGGGCTCCTCGGAGTACTGAAGCTTCTCAGTCACGGAGCCCAGGATGTCCTGCACAGATGCGGAGAGACGGCTGCGGATGGTCACGTAGGAGTGGTCGGGCATGTAGACCCGGCAGAAGACTGCAGAGACAGGACAGCGTGGCAGTGGGCCAGGCCCCAGGGGGAGTCCACTTCCGCCCGCCCTGCCCAGGCCTCCGATGCCCATGCTCACTCTCATCCGACCCCCGGAAGGCCACGCGGGTCTGCAAGCAGGAGTCGATGCGTCGGAAGTGGCGGAAGAGCGGCTTCACCTGCCTGCTGGGTGGCTGGCTCTCCTCTGGGATCCTGGGACAGACACAGAGGGCATCACTGAGTGCTGCCGGGCACAGGCAGTGCCAGGCAGGTGACAGGAAGTGGGCATGTTGGAAGTGGGTAAGGATGCCCCAGCTCATTTCAGAGGGTCAGAATTCAGGATGGTGACCCCGTGTGGGACAGCCGCCCCGGCGACCCTAGTCCAGTGCCACGAATCTTCCCTGACCTTTGTCTCTTTTGGTGGTACTTGAGGTTGAACCCAGGCCCTTTGCACTGAGCTACATTCTCAGCCCATTTGTATTTTTTATTTTGAAACAAGATCTCACTGAGTCACTAAATTGCCTAGGCTGAGGTCAATCCTGGAATCTTCCTGCCTCAGCCTCCCAAGTGCTGGGATTACAGGTATGCACCACCATGGCTGGCTGCATGCCTATCTCTCCTGTGAGACGGAAAGCTTTTGAGGACTGTGACTGGTTCTGACTGAAGTTTTATTTCATCCTTCAGGGGCTAGGACACTGCTGAGCACGAGGTAGGTCGAGGGCTGTCACATGTTAGTAACATTTGCCACCAAGGGCTTCGCAGTCTGGGAGGCAGACGGATTCCAGCACACGGCTCCTTCCAGCACCAGGCAGGAGGTGTTGGTGATGTGACCAGGGTACAGGACAGTGATCCTGGCATCGGGGACAGAGCCCGCTGTTCGGGGAAGATCTGGGACACTTTCATGGAGGAGGTGGATCTTGAGGGACAAGAGGAAGAGAAAGGGGTGGGAGGAGGGTGTCTGGGGGAACACACGAAGTTGGGGAGCACAGAGGTGAGAGGGCAGTGGCTGTACATGGCGTGGCGTGCATAGCGACGTGGGCGATGTTGCAGGCAGAAAGGGAAGGGTGTCGCGCAGTGTGACAAGTTCTAGGCCAGCCTGAACTACATAGCAAGACCCTGTCTCAAAACACAACCCAAAACTCCACATGGAAGCCCTAAGCCCCCACCGCTCTCACTTCAGCTCCACCGTCTCCACCAGCTGGTGCAGCCTCAGCGTGTCCTCCCGCAGGTCCTGGTAGAGGGATTCATCCTTCATAATTAGCAGGTACAGCTCCTGGGAGAGGACCACAGCAGAGGTGAGGGTGGGGTCTCGTCCCAGGGCCGGGCAGGGCACAGAAACCCAGAGAAGCTGCGGCAGTTGTCTTTTGCTTGCAGGTACCAAGCTCAAGGACAGTGGCTCCTCCCAAGGGGCCCCTTCTGGCTGCACAGCCTGCCCATCACGGCCCCTTCCCCAGGCCCACCTTGATAATGTGGCCAGCGCCCTCTTCCTCCTGCAGCAGCCCCTGGTAGGTGTCCAGGAAGTGGAGGAGCATGGCTAGGCAGGCCTGCTTCCGGCCCAGCCCTTCAGGGTCCTCTAGACCCCCTGCCCGAACAAAGCTGACCCTGAAGTTAAGAAAAAGCCCTAGGCAGGTGGCAGACCGGAGGAAGCTGGGACGGGAGGCAACAGGCAGCTCTGGCCACAGCCAGCTCATGCCTGGTAAAGCTGCATCTGAGAATACACTGCCGGGGCCCATCCAACCTTGGGCAGCCCAGGGCATGGAGCTCACTGTGCAGCCCATGAACCCAACTTTACCTCGAGTGGGGCCTGACATTGCTAAGACGGTCTGTGATATTCTTACTCAGTGGCCTTGTGTTTACAACTAGGTTCTAAAATAACTCATCGAAGCCGGGTGTGGTGATGCCCGCCTGTAATCCCAGCACGCTACAGGCTGAGGCAGAGGGATCACCGAGAGTTTGAGGCCAGCCTGGGCTACATAGTGAGACTCTGTCTCAATAAAAAAATGAAAAATTACTAACTAAATAAACTCAGTGTGAGGCTGTATGCTTGCAAGGGTCCCCAGGACCAGGCCAGTGAGTGGTGTGGCTCGGGCAGACCCTATGAGGCACAGCCACACCCTGGTGTGGGTGTTGTGCCCTGTGATAGCTCAGCTGGCATGCAGATGTTTACCACAGTACCTCAGTGTGCAACAGCACCCCCTCCCATGTATACAGGCCTAGGTGTCACAGGGCCTAAGGACTCGCACCTGCCACAGCGCTGACCTTATGGCTGGCAGCACAGGGGCAGCACGGCATGGGCCCTTTTATAGGAGAAGCTGGGACCCCACACACCCTGTGAGTAGGAAAGTTGGGTGTGTTTTCTACGGGTGCACATGGGCCTGGCATCACCTGTAGGGTGCAGGGTGGACCCTCTCCCGGCCTCCCCTTTTCGAAGCTCCAGGAAAGGATATTACTGGTGCAGTGCCTGCAGGAATTTCTCCGTCGGGAGGAAGAGGGAGTGGGTGAGGACAATGTCATCGAGCAGGATATCTGTGGAGATTAGTGGGTGCTGCAGATGTCGGGGGCCACCCAGTACCCCTTTCTTGCCACCAAGGCCAAGTTCTCTTCAGCCAGGCTGGAGCCGTGGCCACCTGCCCCGTCATGATCTGAACACATGTGCGTGTGTGCGGGCGCACACACACACACACACACACACACACACACACACACACACACACTGGAGAACGGGAGGGTGAAGGTTCTGGGCAGCCGCTGCGGGGGTGGGGCTGGCAGCTGCCAGGCAGCTGGGGGAAGGGGGCGTCTTTGATGGCCAGGCACTTTCCTCTGCAGGGTGGCGGGAGCTGGGCACTGCCCCTGAATACAGGAGGAGCCCAAGTGTCTCTAGACACATGCACAGACACTAGGGTCAGCGGTGCACCTGTATGTGCGTGCATCCTCCCTCCCTACTCCCCATCTCCCAGCCTTGCCTTTGGACAGAGCAGGTGGGAACCAGCCCCAGTAAAGGGAAAAGGAGTGACTGCCCTCTTTGATCTCAGAGCCAGGCTCGAAGGCCTTTAAGGATGGCAGGTGGCGGGAGGGGCTCTCCTCACCTCCCTTCCCCTCAGCACCCCTGTCTGGGCCTGGCTCAGCCAGTCAGCCAGGTACAAGGTCGCCCTGACTTGCAGCCAGCCCCAGGGTGGGGCAGGGCCGCCTGGCACTCGCAGGCAGGCAGGGCACAGGGACGGAGCCAGGTGTCTCTGCTAGGACAGGTTAGGGCCAGGTCCCCAGGTGCTGCTCCAGGCACAACCCAGGCTTCTGCCACCCCATGGCCAACCAATTCTAGCTGTGGAGGTAGAGGAGAACCAACTGGCGATCGTCTCCATCAACTATCTCATGTCACAAAGGAGAAACCGAGGCTTCAAGGTGGAAGAACTGAGACATCTGAGTCTGTTCTTTCCTCAGTGTGCCCAAAGCAAGCAGAGGGTCAGGGGGCCTGCCCAGACCTCTGGGAGGCTCCGACCTTCTGGAAGTCCCTCTTCCCACACACCCAAGGAAACCAACAGAGCATGAGTGACACCGGGACCCCCAGAATGGCGATTAGCTTCTCACTCCCTCTGGGACTGGTTCGGGGTTTACCAAACTAGTTTCTTTGAGGTTCCAGCTCCCAAGCCTGATAATATGTGGGGATAATCAATACAGGAGTCTTCTGTCCTCCCAGGGGACACTGAGAATCCCTGGCACCAGGCCTTGAAGGAAGGGAAGACAGATCCCTTTCCCTGTGTGCCCAGAACAGGCCCCAGCTCCTTGGGCAGCAGGGAGCCTGACACCCTTCAAAACCTCTTCCCCAATGCAAATTCACGGGTGGGAGAGCAGAGGCAGAGCGAGGGAAGAGGGACGAAGGGCAGAAGTGGGGAGATGCTGATATGGGGGCTATGGTTTGGCGTCTGTCTCTTCCAAAGCAGGCTTTGGTCCAAGGCACAGCCTCTCCGGGGAATGTGTCATAGAGACAGAGGGTGTGTGGTGTAGGCGGGAAGTTACGGTTAGGAGAGCTGTGTGTGTCTGATATTTTTCTAATTAAATCTGAAAGGTGTCAGCTCCCCAGGGCAACTACAGCCTCCGCCAAAGGAAAGGACCCAGACTTTCCTTGAGAAAAATCTTTGGGAGTGGTGCCCTACCTGAACACCTAAGTGGGGGTTCCATGCAGAGGGCTAAGAGCAAAGGCTAAAACCCCTCATCATCAGGGTTTCAACGAGGGTCCCCCAAGCTCAAAGCCTCCTGGGTTACTGCAATGCCTTGAACTAGACCTAGAGATCCCCGGGTCTCTACATTAGTGCTAAGCAACTTGGGGCCTGGGTTGCCTTACAGCCCCCTTGGCAGGGTGCCGTGGGAGGGGAGAAATAGCATTGTTTAGGAAAACACCTCTCAGGGTGTGGTTCTACTTTCTAAAGAGGCCGGTGCTGCAAGGGAGGAGATGGAAAGGCCCAGACCCCCCTGATGCTGCGCAGCCCTGATGCCATCCCCCCTTCCTCACGAGCGCCCTCCCCCACCCAAGGACAGCGAATCCCTCTGCCTGGGCTCTTTGCCTGTCCATGCTGTCCCCCAAGCAGCCTGGCCTGGGCCCTCCGCCTCCACACAGCCGGGGCTTGGGTCAGGCCTGCGGCCTTGAGCTCGTCTGAGGGTGGCACGAGGTGCTTTGCACACTTCCATTTCAGCGTGTCAGGACCTGACTTTGGGGCACAGGCGTCAGAGACTCACTGGGGACTATGGCTAAAATGTTCAGCGGAGAGCAAGGGCGGCTAAAGGAGAGGAAGGAGGCCGAGTTTCCTCCTTGGAGGGGCAGTGGGCACTGTCGCTCCTCCCCTGGGGGGTCTGTGGCCCTGCTCGGCCCCTACCACACTGTGGGGACCCCTCAACCCCACCCCAGGCTCCAGCACTGGCGCCACCCCCTCTCCAAGGGCATGAAGGGGGCATGAAGGGCCCCGCTGTGTTCGGCCGACACACCTTACCTGAGGTGCCGCTGTCCCTGGTGGCCCCGCCAGCCAGGCGCTCCAGGACCCGGTCCAGAAGGTGCTCGGGCCGCTCGGGGGCACCCAGGGGGGCCCAGGGGGGTGAAGTCAGGAGCTCACCCGGGGACAGCTCGTCGGAGGAATAGGAGGATGGGGAGCGCAGGGGGCCCGGCACTTCCTCCAGCTGCAGCCAGCAGGGCCCCCCGCCGCCCGGGTCCTCTGCCACCCCCGCCAGCTCGGCCCCGTCTTCCTCCGCGGGCGGCTCCAGCCCCGGCTCGGCGGGGGGCTCGCGCAGGAAAGCGGGGAGCAGCAGGCGGGACACGCTCTGACGCCTCTGCAGCGCCCGCAGCCCCCCAGGGGGACCCCCGCCCCCGCCCGGACCCCCGCCCCCGCCGGGCCCCCCACCTGGACCCCCGCCGGGCCCCTCGGCCACCGCGCGCCCCGCCAGCTGCGACGTCTGCTTCTTCAGGAATTTCTCCAGCGGCTTCATGCCCCCCCCGCCCCTCTCCCGGGGGCCGCCGGGGGACCCAGGTGTTCCGGGCGCGGGCGGGGGGGGGGCGGGGACCCGGTGTTCCGGGCCGGAGGCGCAGGGCGCAGGGCTGCGCCAGGCACCGGAGCGGGGCAGGGTGGCCGAGGCTCGCTGGCCAGAGCCCGGGGCCGGGGCCGCAGGTGCCAAAGGACGCGCGCTCTCAGCGAGCCCCCATGCCGAGGGCGCGCGGGCTGCAGGGCCGGCGCCGGCTCTGCGCTTCGGGCCGAGCTGCGGCAGCGAAGGAGCGGGAGGAGCGCAGCGTGGGAGGACGCGGCGGCGGCTGCGCTCCCGGCCCCAGGAAGGTGGCAGAGCCCAGACCGCGCCCCCTTCCCGAGGCCCCGCCCTTTAGGGAAACCACGCCCCGTCGTGGCTCCGCCCCCGGATCGCGCCAGACTTGAAGTTGGGCGGCAGGACGGACCTGCGAGGGTCGCTGTTTGGGGCTTGGGTTCAGGGCTGGCGCAGAAATGAAGGGCAAAGGCGAGGGAGCTGCTTAGCAATGGAAAAGGATGACTTAGGGGATGACGGGGGTGCTTAGCGTTGTTTCCAAGAGCCGGGGCAGGTCTGTGGCCTGCAGGGGGCTCATCTGTGCCCCGGTGAGGCTGCCCCCCTGCACCTTCACTAACCACGCGGGAATATGTGGCCTTTCTCTTCCTTCCGTGAGGGCTGCGAGGCCTCTCAGGGACGGACATTGGCACCGGGGGCGGTGCCCATCTGCCCTCTCCAGCAGGGCAGAGTAGGTGGTGCAGGGCTGGCCTGTGAAGCAGGTACTGGCAGGTAGAGAGAAGCAGGTTGTGGCAGGTCTTGGGGTGAGAAGAGATAGTACGCAGAGGGGAGGAGACTGAGCAGGGGGAAGCAGGGCCACAAGATGGGTGACAAGTGCCCCGGAACTGCCACTGGACATCACCAATCAGAGCCGGTGCACACCACCCTAGTGTGGGAAAAACGGTGCCGAGTTGGGATTCCAAGCCACCCTCTGATGCCCATGCCCACAGCAGTGTGTCCCTAAGGGTGCTCTGCCCAGGAGGAGGGGATGGAGACATGGGGTGAACACACCCAGGCCCGAGGTGGGTTGAGGCTCCTTCGGAGCCCCGCCCGGTCATGGTGCACCAGCCAGGTGCGGACGGGAACGCTAATTGCTGGGAGTGGCTGCAGAACTGACAGGGTGTGCACTACCCTGTGACTCGTATGTGTGCTTCTCTGGACCCATGTGTGCTAGAGCAAGTGTTCACAAACGAAGCTTTGCACACCCATCTGTGGATTTGGAGAGGGGACAACAGAGAGCTCCAGCCAATCATGGCTAACAAGGTAGATCTGAGGTCAGCTTCCTGGGCTGCCTTTACGGGACACCCCAGTGTTCCTGGAGTTGAAGGGTGATGCTGGCTGGAGTGGCTTGGAGCTGCCCAGGTAGCATTTTGTGAACCGAACAGGAAGAGGGGAGGGCTTCTCAACCAGCACATGCCACAGCTACCAGATTAAGCTTGTTGCCTTGGTAACCTCCTCTCTGGGCAGGATTTGGGATTGTCATTAGGGAGGGGGAAGAATTGGGGAGTGTGGGGGCAGTGCGAGCTGGAAATAAAAGGGACTGAGACTTCTGGAAACTAAAAGCTTTGGGTACAGGACTCGAGGACCCCTCTAACTACTCAAGGGCAGCAGGCGGTCACTGAGTTTGAGAGCTTTCATCAGGGGGAACCAGCATGTCCTCCTGTGCCCTGGAATCGAAGGGAAGCTTTCCAGAAACCCTGATGCCCAGGCCCCATCCCAGATCAGTGAGATGAGGCATCCAAGGCAGGCCCAAGGCTTAGGTATTTTGAACAGCTTCCCAGGTGGCTCCAATGGCCAGCGTTGAACACCACTGCCCTGGGGGAGCGGCCCAGGCCAAGTAGGGTGCAGATGCTGGGAGATTCCAAGTCCTTGCTGTTCTGAGTTGCCCAAAGATAGGAGGCCTGTGTGCCAGCCTGGAGGGTGAGGGTTGGCAGGGGACCTGTGGGCATATGGGAGAAATAAAAGGTAGGGTGATAGGAATTACAACTGTGAGGAGCCCAGCCAGAGGCTCTGACGGGCAGCCCCACCCTGGCTTTCTACAGGTGATTGGGCAGGGTCATCTAAGGCCCATCTGACTGCCCTTCCCTCCCCTTCTTTCTGCCCACCGAAAGGCAGGTTGGGAGGGAAGAGAACCTGGGGGCTTTGCTGAGCCTGAGCTTCTTCTTGATGAGCTGGTTACCAAGGCAACAGAGAGAGCACTGGGATCTAACTGCAGGACTGAGGAAGCAAGAGGCAGGGATGAGAGAAGGATCTCTGTCCATAACCCACCCCCCTAAGGCAGGTTGGCACTCCTGGCATGACCCCAGGGGACCAGTCTATCACCACCCGTCACCCTGAGAAGGGAAACAAAATGCTAGGACTTAGACAAGGTCAGGAAGTTGTGCTCATCTGGCAGCGGCAGCAGCAGTGGCAGCAGCAGTGGCAGCAGCAGTGGCAGCAGCGTGTGGGGCCGCCACCCATCATTTTAGGGTGCCTGTGCCCAGCCCCGTGTACAAATGCTGCCAGCTCAACAAATGCAATTACTCTTCCACACTGGGGGAGTCTTTTCGTCAACTTCCACCCTACCCTGGACCTGGAGGAAAGTCCATGAAAAGCTGGGAATTACCTCAGCACACCAGGGGCACGGAGGCCCAGGGTAACGGCATTGGAGCCACAGCCTGGTGTCTACCATTCCCTTCCCCTTCCCCACACAGACTGCTAGGAGTCTCTCATGCCAGGGTCCCTACCACTTCAGTGCTAGCATCTTTACCTTGCCAGGAAGTCAGCGGCCTCTGCCTCTCTACCCAGGACCGGGTGCAGTGGCACTGGCATTTGTTGTGCTTTGCCTGGAGAAATGTGGTTCGCAAACACAAAGGCAGGCACAAAGGATGCTCATGTTCCTGGGGCAAGAGGTTTTTCTGTCCCCAAGACTTCTGATCAAAGAGGATGCAGCACACCCTGCTGTCTATGAGGCAGTGTGGACGAGGAAGCAAATGTTGAAGGGGCACAGACACACATAGGGCCTGGCAGGCGTCTCCTCACCACTCTGGGCTTCCGTTTCACAAGTCTGAACGACTTGGGGCAATCGGGGAGTCCTTACCCTGCCTCCTAAATCAGGAGTCACACAAACATTGGCAAGGCAGCTGTGTTTAGTCTAAATTTTATTATCTCCAGGTCACAATGCTGATCACAAATGTACACTCTTTAAAACAGTAACAAAAACAACACACGTGGAGAAATCTTTGCAACTAAGTACAGTGGACCAAGAGAGACAACTGTCACAGTGTCTTCGGGTCTGGGGTCTGGGCAGCTGCCTACAGGTTTGCACACATCTTCAGGTTTAAGGCAAAGGGAAGCTGACGAAAGGCACAAGCACCAGCTATCCCAGAGAAGCCTTCCTGCTTTCCTCCTCGGGGTCACAGCCCAACTCCTCTCTCTCTCTACCCACACCGTGACTCAGAGTGGTCAGGCCAGCTGCTGAGGGAACGAGTGAGAACAGAGGCATCCTGCCACCTTCTCCCTCGAGTTCTGAGGAAGGACAGGGACAGGGGTCAGGCTTCCCCTGGCAGACATGCGCACTGCAGTGACAAACTCTACAGAGGCAGCAGGGGAGTGGTCCGGGGCCGTAACAGGGAGCACAGTGGGGAGCCCTGCTCACAGGATGACTGGCTTCCTCAGGCTGGAAGCCCAGGTGCGGTGCCTTCTGTTTGCAAGAACAGGAGATTCAGGGAAAGGAGAGAAACCGAAACACTTGTAGCAGGAACAGTGCAGAGAGGGACTGCCCCGTGAGACAGAGTGCTTGCCAGCAGCACCTGCTGCTAGAGATCCACTGAGCCAAGGCGACAGCGACAGGGAGGGGTGTGGCCAGAGGGCGAGAGAAGCAGGCCCCTAACTCCACTTAACGCAGAAACTGCGTTCCAAGCATGTGCTGCTCACAGTGGCTTTGCCCTTGGCAGAGAACTGAAGCCACCAGAGCAGGGCACTGATGACTCACCCACTTTGCGCCCTTCTCCGAGTGGACACTGTGGACAGCTGTCCTCCCTTGGGTAGGGGGTTAAGAGAATTCAAGTAGAGAGAGTGACGGGGCTACCCTCCTTGCACCGGGAGGATACACTTAGCTGGCTGCGATGCAGGGAGAGGCAACGGCACCCAAGGGGCAGCAAGCCAGAAAAAGGACTCGGTTCATTGAGAGAGACTAAGAATATTAATTTAAGAACAGCAAGCCAGGTTTTTAAAAAAGGAACATTTTAGAAAACAAAACAACCACAGGAAAGGACATCCCCAGGAGCCAAAGACCCTTGAATGTCCAGGGAGAGGGTGAAGCCTGGCAAGCCTGGGCTCCTGGCGGACGCGCGGACACTCAGCAGCTCAGGCCACGCTGCGCTGCGCTCCCCTCTGCGCAGAGCTGGCCCAGAGGAAGGGCCCACCGCCTGATTCCAGGGCCTCCCGGAGCAATGGCCCATTGGATCTCTCTTCTCTCCTGAGATCACACCTCTGTGAAAGTTTGAGAAGGGCAGAACCAGCCAAGTGTTAGTAGTGGACCTCAGGCCCTCAGGATAGCTACAAACTGGCTTGTTCACTATTTGTCTCAGTGCTGAGAATGAAGCCCAAGGCCTCATGTGAGCTAAGCACAGGCTCTGCCAGCGAGCTGCACCCCAGACCCTACATAACGTGTTGTAATGACCTTAAAAGAATGAAAACAGGGCTGGGGATTTAGCTCAGTGGTTTCGCCACCTGCTGTGTAAGCACAAGGACCCAAGTTCAATCTCTGTACCCCACCCCCCCAAAAAAGAAAAAGAAAACAGAATCTCCATGTTCTCTGTCCTCTATGATCTTTACAACTGGCTTTTTTTTGCTGTATCACTTTAAACTCAGATTTTCCCTTTCTCTGGTCAGGTTTGCAGTGCACTCCTGTACTCCCTCTCTCCCTCCCGTGTGTGCAGTATGGGGATTAAACCTATGGCCTTCACAGGAGCTACATCCCAGCCTGTTTTTTGTATCAGGACAGGGTCTAAGTCACTAAATTGCCCTAGCTGGGCTGGAACTTGTGACCTCCTGTGCTAGGATCACAGGCATGTGCCACCAGGCCTGGCTGCATTCCTGTATTTCCTTCTTGCCGCTCCTCGAGTGAAAGCATCAAACTGTCAAGTTAACAACGGTTTCTCCTTTAACTCTGTCCAATACATTCACAAAACAAAGAAACTGGCAAATTCTGGGCCACCTTTAAGTCTCTCCTGAGATGTCATGTGATTATTAAGTCCAGCATTAAGCAGTGATGTTCTTTATTAAGAATGAGCACTTGGAAAAAAAAAAAAAAAAAAAGAATGAGCACTAGGGG